GCCGTTTCCCGAAGCTTGGGCATGGCGACAGCAGGAGAGCATCTAGGTCTTGCAAGCGTGCCGCGGATATCAGCGTGGGCGGCACTGTGACCCAGATTCTCTCAGTGACTCTTCTCTCCCTGCCTTCAGCTTCAGCGCGTTTTCGGTCGGTCGTGGAAAGTGCCGCTATTAATCCGAGGCCGATCGGGGTGTTATTGTTGTCTTTATTCCGGAAGCCGATTGGGGGATTGGGACCCGCAGGCATTTGTTCTGCTACCCATCGCTCGTAGCGACCGACCCTGCGGGCGTGGAGGATATTTGCGCGCGGGCCCGATATCTCGTCGTCGGCGTTTGCAGGGGCGGCCGACGTCGTGCGGCGTCAGGATGTCATGTCTGATGCGGCCGTCAGCAGATCAAAGGTTGCTCGTTGGTTGCTGGACTTGCATGAGTTTCTCGTGGCAGTATGCCCGGTCAAGTTGGAAAAGCGCTGCAAACACCTCGTTCCCGCCGCAGAATTTCCAGCTGTGCCTCGCCATGCATGGAGGTCTTTGTTTTCTTATTTTGGGTTCCATGATTATGGGGCCAGCTTTATCCCGCGAAGGCGTTCTTGCAGGATTCCCAGCTGCCGCCGGCTTTGCGAGAGCTTGCGCCACGCCGCCGCTCGATCTCTTTCCCCCTCGGGTCCAGGAGGCGCTTGATGTGTATCTCGGTGACTGCGGTCTTCGTTTCGTGACGAACATGATTGTTGTTCAACTCGGTGGCGGCGGCGGACGCCGAGCTGCATTCAGTTCTCGCAGAAGATGTGGGATGCGACGCTTCCCACGGTGAAGCTACCCTTGTTTGCCCCTTCTCTTCGCGCTGCAAGCCTGTCCAGAAGCTCTCGGGGCCGCTGGCGGGCGAGCCGGCGTCGAGCGCCGCCGGTCTCGGCATCGATGAGATTGTGGGAAGAGGAATGGGGGGGGCTGAAAGCGGGTATCGCAGGCCTAGAGGTTGACAGCAACACCAATATCGGCGGTGCTCCTCCACCGAGGGAAGAAAATCCCGATCTCGGTGATGGTGGTCATATTCTGGCTTCCAAGGTGACCGAAATATTACCACCAACACCGAAATCTAAGATCATCTCCCCCCTGTGGAGGCAGCCCCCTGTCTTGGAGTTGGTGCCCATTTCCAGGCCTCCAAGTGTACGTAGGGGTAAACCCCTCCCCGAAGGGGAAGAGGGAGGGGTGGAAGAGGAAACGCCCTAAACCACTTACGCCCAGAGGGCTGGTGGGATTAGTACCCCCCTCCTCCTCCTCCTCCTCCTTTTCCTCCTCCTCCTCCTCCTCCTCCTCCTCGGTGTGTGCTGGACCACCCACCAAGCCACCCCAACCCAACCCCGGCCCGAAGGCCCCAATTCGCCCTCCATTCCCAGTGTGGGGGGTCTGGGGAGCATTGAAAAACATTACACCAGAGAAAAGCCCCAATCAGTGGATGGTTTTCGCTGAGGAGGAGGAGCCTGGGAACCCAGAACCCACCGAAATCGACCTAGAACCAATGACCGGGAATCCGGGAACCCAGCCTGCTACCAAAATCGGCGGGATTTTTCGCCAAATCTTTCAACTTCCGCTAGGACCCCTTCAGTGCAAGCACTGATTAGGGAAGAACACATGTGAAGCCCGTACCCCCCCAACCTGAAATTCGGATCTTCGGGTTGGGCTGGGGTGGTCTGGTAGGTGGTTGAGAAGGTCTGTTGTTGCCAGGCGGTTGCTGCGTCGCAGAAGACCCAGGCGCGTGCTTGGCAAGCGCGCCTGCCGAGCCATCGCCACTGGCCCACCTGTCTGGCCCGCCTGCGCCGCTGAAACCCACGGTGTGTCCGACCTCGGAGTATCTCTAGGAGGGCTCGGAGTCCACTCTTGAGCCTTCCGCGGGCCATCGTTCCCTTCGCCCCCTCCTCATCCTATGGAAATGCCTCGCTGCGGGGCCCGCCGCGGCGCCCATCTTGAGGCGTTCCAGAGAAGTACGGGTGGGCTGGGTTCGGTTATCCTCTCATATTCTTTCCTTTGCAACTCTGAGATTTGCCTGGCGCGCGTTGTTCGCCGATTCTGGGGTGCATCGGGAGGGCGCGCTTCGATGCCGTTGCCTCGGGGCTTACGACCCCCCTGGATACAAAAGCGCGGGCCGCAGAGGTAGCCCAAGAGGGGTCGCGGGGCTTACGTCAGGTCGCTGGGCCCCAGTTCAATGTGGCAGAGACCGCCCTGAGGCAATTCTCCAGTGCATCCATCGCCCCTTTTTTTCAGGTTGTTCGCCAAATGGGGTGAGGACCGGGGAATCGCAATTTCTCCCAGTGCTTCCTCGGAAGTAGTTCCCCGGTTACATTTCCAGGCCGCCTGGGAGTTTCTCTGGCAGTCTGAGATTGGCGATTTCGCGTAGGACTTTCTCAGACGAAACTCTCTGGTCCCATTTCCAGCCGCCAGCGAAGTCCGATTTTGCTTGAGGCTTCCTCACCGTCAGCAGCTGAGTAGAAACGTGTTTGAGCGCGGGAGGATCCGGGGACGATCGAGTCCTGGCATGAGCCAGTTTGTGTATGGGTGGCCGCGCGTCAACGGGTCTGCGCACGAGGAAGTATGGATGTAATTGAGTCTGACCTTGATCGTTAGATAATGAGTGGATATGCGCGCGAGTGGGTCGGGGTACGTCGAAGTCCTCCCATGGGACAGTCGGGGGAGGGGCCAGCATTGTTTCAATCCTGTAGGTGGTAGGCGTTCGTTTTTTTTTCCTCCACCCCAGCATGGTTAAATTTGATTGCTCGCTTGTGGCGGCGCCCAGGCTAAGGACCGTGCCGACGCGTTGGCTACATCATCACCGACGTACTTGGTCCGCTATGTAAGATGGCTTTTGGTTTCCTTCTGTTCCGTCTGAGGCAATGCCCTTGCGCTGATGATGAGCGTGATGGGGCTGGCAGCGCCATTAACGGGGCCATTTGCGCCTTTGGTGAATGGGCTGCCGACGAGGCTATCTTTCTCATGGACATTTTTCTGCATCCAGGGGGGATTTGCTTCGCCCAAACAAGGAGGCTCAATGGGGCCATTACTTCTTTACAGAACGATGGCAGTGGATCCCAGCCAGGACCTGTGCGGTTTGAGGTGATGTGTTCTGGGACAGGTCCTCATCCCCTCGCGTCTTCAAGGAGCCGTCTAGGGCGGCCTGGGGTTTGTTTCGGTTGATGCCCCGATTCCCAAGGAGAGGTGACCTCGTCAGTGTCTGGGGCTGATCGTGGTAGGTTTCCTCGGACGTTCCAATCGGCTGAGTGCGGGGCGCGGGCGGCCTTTGTTCAGTGCCTGGGCGGCCCGCCCCCGGCTAGACGGACTGCGAGGGCGTGGTCAGAACTCACGGCGCCCCCGAGCCTCCGAGGTTCCACCGCCGTGAGAAGTGTTCTAAACCAGCGCAGGACTTTGACGCTGCGTTCGGTATTTTATGGCCCGCCTTCCTGCGTCTCCGGATTCGAGCGATGAACGGGGGTCCCTGAAGGTCGGCAGCGATGCAGCAGATCGTGCCGCCAAACATGATATCCTTTCACATCCACAAGCCAGTGAAGCTGAGCTTGCGTTGGTCAACCGAGTGGTCAAGTGCGGTCAGGCTGTATGTCGAGCTGCTGCTGCGGTCTGGCCATTCTGGCTTAACATTGATTTGGCGGACGCTGAGCGCGTGTCCGTCCCTGCCCTCTTTGCCCAGCTCGCGCGCTTTAGACCGCCTGTGGGAGCGGTGCCGAAGGAGTTGGAGATGCAAGTGTCGCCTCGGGTTTCGCGACGCCCAGATGATGCCTCCAGAATTTGGCTGTGATGTCGAGCCTCCTCCAGCAGTGGCGCTCTGATTGACGGAGGCCATCGCCCCTTTCTATGCGATGCCCGGACAGATCGTCATTGTTTGCTTGTATCCGATGTAAGGCCCACGCGCGTCTTGGTTGGATTTATCGGATCAGATATGTTGGTGGCCCGAACCTTAAAAGCAATAGTGATGCGCGCAGGGTCACTTCCTCCTGAGGTCGTCGAGGTCGAGTCCGAGGCCCATGACCCAGGCCAACTTTCTTCTACTGAGCTGAATGGCATGGGTCCGTTGTGCCAAGTTGCTCCTGCTTTCCGCGAGGCCAGCTGACTCTCTCACGGGTGGTGACAGTTTATTCACATCGCGTCTATTTGGTGCCACCGTGCCGTCATTGTGTCACAAGGTTGTCTTTCTGAGCCTGGGTGCAAGGTGCGGGTGGTGGCCCCTCCATCCACTACCACAGGGTTTTCTGCGCAGCTAGCTTTCATGATTGAGGGTGGTGGGGGGAGCCGTTTCCCCCCCCTTCCTCGTGGAGGCCGTCTGCCGCGCTCGTGTCTGATTGTCTCCAGGCCGATCATGTTGGATCAGCAGCGTGTGCCGGCCTGGCAATGTTTAGTGTGCTGGCCTGCCGCTGGGCGGTTGCAGTTCCCAGCCTCCTGACTGTCATCTGTTGAATTCCGCTATCGGCCACGGGGGGTGTCCTCGTCGTGTGGCGGACCAAGCCATGCAGCCTGTCATACCATTTCCCCACAGCTTGCTATTGGGCCATGATCGGGAAGCACTTGTTTTGCTTGTTCCTCTCTGTCTCTCTCTCTCTCTCGCTCTCTCTCTCTCGCTCCCTCGCTCTCTCTCTCTCTCTTTCTGTCTCCCTCTCTCTCTGTCTCTCTGTCTCTTCATTTATATTTATATTTCTTTTCTTTTTTAAAAATCTCTCTCTCTCTCTATATATATCTATATTTTTACCTATATCTCGCCTTTCCTTTCTTGACTTTTTATATCTCTCTCTTTATTTATCTCTATTTTTTTTTTTTGTTCTCTCTCTCTCTCTCTATTTTTTACTACCTCGATGCACTCACTACCTCGATTGTCGCTGTACGTCCGGTTTTGTGTCGTCTGAGTTCATGTCGCGGTGCGTGCCGTCGTCCGTCCCCGCGCCAGCGCGCCCGCGCGCGCCAACGCGCCCCTCCTTTGGCCCGTGCCCGACCCCCCCCCTTCGGCAGGGCCCTTCGCGCCGCAGGCGCAGCTGTGCCCGCAGGGCCCGTGGCATCCCCAAGGCCCCTCGCGGCCGTCCGCCGCCGGATCTGCGATTGCCGCCGCCGTCATTGCGGGAAATATTTGTATCCGTATCCACTACGTCTCGGGTTTCCGAACTCCCTTGCTGAGAAAGTGGAGACGCGGTGGGTACGGATAAATATCTCGCCCTTGGCGAAGCCAGAATTTGATCCATGTCCGCTGCGTCTATGGTTTCCTTGACGCCCCTTCCCGAAACATCCAAGACGCCGTGGATATGTATGTAAATCTTGCCCGCATTTGTCCTTGTCGAGATTCCCTCCCCCGCTCCCTGCCACGAGTCCGCTCCGCTGCGGTCCCTTTCCCCCTCCCTCTCCCCGCACCGCTTATCCCACGTCGGCCTCACCCGTCTACAGCTACTCATTATTATGAATACGATCCTCCTCTCGCCACTGACTCTGCCTGGAAGTTCTTCGGCCCACTCCGCGTATTCTTGCATTTTGAAACCAATTTTTTCGGTGGTTCAAAATGGTGCTCCCGCTGAAGCGCGGGCTTCGTTTCCGGTTCGGCTCTTGGTTACCGCAGTTCAGAGTGGCTCGCCCCCGCGCGGGCCTTTTTCTTGCATGGACCACTAGGAGAGCCCCACACATCGGGGACGGGGAGCCCCAGGGCCGCCTCCGAGAACTCGCCCGGTCTGGCAGCCGTTCCGCCCGAGATTTCGCCTCCACCTGTTCGGGAGGCGCGCGCTCGGCTCACTGCCGGCTGCACGTTTGGTCCAGACGGCCACGGTCCCGAACCGTGCACGGTGCACGTGGCCGTGCTCTCAGCCATCCGTTCCCAGCTGCTGGCTTCCTATCCCTCGACCCGCACCTCTGCTGCTATCGGGGTGCTTTGCTGGGGTAATATTCCTCCTCATCCTCCTCCTCCTCTGCCTCCTGCTCATCTGCCATCTCCTCCTCCTCCTCCTCCATGTACGCGGCTCCCCTTCCTGATCGCGCATCACACGAGGGGGCACTTCGGGGATCCGGGTCCGCCAGGACGTCCATCGGCGGATTGATAAAACATCAGCGAAATGGGAGGGTATCTGTGGGAGGGGTAGGATGTCAGATGTGCGCGTGCGCACCCAGCTCGTCATTTTCCCTTTTTTACCTAACAGCGAAGACTGATAGGTTTCTAGTGGTGTCAAAAGAGAGCATCATGACTCCTCAGGGGGGTCGGGGCGGGACCCCGGGCGGCTGCCGTCGAAGCCCAAATCGCCTGGGACATCCTCGCAAAATCGCTTTCGGCGCTGCTAGAACTCCATTCCCGGCGTACATTTTGGATGCCCAGAGCCAACTGTAGGCCACTTCGTGGTCTTCGAGTTCCCAGAACTCCATTCCCGGGCCACATTTTCAATGCCCGGAGCCAACTGTAGGCCACTTCGTGCTCTTCGAGTTCCCAGAACACCATTCCCGGGCCACATTTTGAATGCCCGGAGCCAACTGTAGGTCACTTCGTGCTCTTCGAGCTCCCAGAACTCCATTCCCGGGCCACATTTTGAATGCCCGGAGCCAACTGTAGGCCACTTCGTGCTCTTCGAGTTCCCAGAACTCCATTTCTGGGCCACATTTTGAATGCCCGGAGCCAACTGAGGCTGAGGCAGGCTGCTGCTGAGGCAGGCTGAGGCTGAGGCTGAGGCAGGCTGAGGCTGAGGCAGGCTGAGGCTGAGGCTGAGGTTGAGGCTGAGGCTGAGGCTGAGGCAGGCTGAGGCAGACGCTGAGGCAGGCTGATGCTGAGGCAGGCTGAGGCTGAGGCTGAGGCTGATGCAGGCTGAGGCTGAGGCTGAGGCTAAGGTTGAGGCTGAAGGCAGACTGAGGCTGAGGCTGAAGCAGGCTGAGGCTGAGGCTGAGGCAGGCTGAGGCTGAGGCTTAGGCAAGCTGATACTGAGGCAGACTGAGGCTGAGGCTGAGGCAGGCTGAGGCTGAGGCAGGCTGAGCTGAGGCAGGCTGAGGCTGAGGCTGAGGCTGAGGCTGAGGCTGAGGCTGAGGCTGAGGCTGAGGCTGAGGCTGAGGCAGGCTGAGGCTGAGGCTGAGGCAGGCTGAGGCTGAGGCTGAGGCTGAGGCTGAGGCTGAGGCTGAGGCAGGCTGAGGCAGGCTGAGGCTGAGGCTGAGGCTGAGGCTGAGGCTGAAGCAGGCTGAGGCTGAGGCTGAGGCAGGCTGAGGCAGGCTGAGGCAGGCTGAGCTGAGGCAGGCTGAGGCTGAGGCTGAGGCTGAGGCTGAGGCTGAGGCTGAGGCTGAGGCTGAGGCTGAGGCTGAGGCTGAGGCTGAGGCTGAGGCTGAGGCTGGCAGGCTGAGGCTGAGGCTGAAGGCAGACTGAGGCTGAGGCTGAAGCAGGCTGAGGCTGAGGCTGAGGCAGGCTGAGGCTGAGGCTGAGGCAGGCTGATGCTGAGGCAGGCTGAGGCTGAGGCTGAGGCTGAGGCTGAGGCTGATGCAGGCTGAGGCTGAGGCAGGCTGAGGCTGAGGCCGAGGCTGAAGGCAGACTGAGGCTGAGGCTGAAGCAGGCTGAGGCTGAGGCTGAGGCAGGCTGAGGCTGAGGCTGAGGCAGGCTGATGCTGAGGCAGGCTGAGGCTGAGGCTGAGGCTGATGCAGGCTGAGGCTGAGGCAGGCTGAGGCTGAGGCCGAGGCTGAAGGCAGACTGAGGCTGAGGCTGAAGCAGGCTGAGGCTGAGGCTGAGGCAGGCTGAGGCTGAGGCTGAGGCAGGCTGATACTGAGGCAGGCTGAGGCTGAGGCTGTGACTGTGACTGCCGTTGCCACTGCGACTGTCATCGCGAATGCGACTGCGACTGCGAGAACAGGAGAATTCTACAACTGGATTCTCATCTGGATCTTAAGGGGAATCCATATATGCTTCTACACATCGCTGTTAGGTTGCTTTGCCGGGATATTTTCTCCGTTCGTCCCCTCCTCTCCCCCACTTTGCCTTCCCTTCCTACCCTCCCTTTGTCCTTTCCCCCCATGCCTTCTCTCCCAGTCGGTCCTCCGAGATCCGACGTTGCGAAAAAAGTACAACGTCGGGAGAAATCGCGACTGGAACCCCAGGCCCTACCTTTCGGCGGAATTATTTGAGCCGGATCGATCTGTGTTGGTCCCGGGTCTCGCAACCGGGCGGAAACTCCCAGTGTGAAGTAGTTGCGACGCCTGGATCTCAGGGCCCTCCCCTCCCTTCCGTGTCCCCATTCTTCTTCTTTCTTCCATCCCCATTTCGACGGCGAGAGTCGCCACCGCGCGTATGTAGGCTCGATCGTATTTCTTGGGATTCAGCATCAACGCTGGTATATCCGCGGTCATAGGTCGGCCGAACCTGGCACACTTCCGCTTAAAATCCTACCTCGTCCGGCGTTGTCTGGCTGGTCTGATATGGTTCACCATTGCTCAACTCTTGGCTTGATCTTGTCTAACCTGGCTCCACGGCCCCTTGCTCGGGACGAATGCCCGTTGACTGGCCTCGCGAAGACCTCCCAGGGAGCTGCCTCCGAATGTCGGCACAGGGCGCACTCGGTGCTGGCACAGGCGGCGACGCGGCGAGGCGGCGGCTCTGGCCTTGCCCACTGCCGCACGGCCACGTCGGTCACGCGTGCCATCCGTCGGACGTCCGACGTCGGCCTCTCGGCCCCGTCCGTGCCTGCCCCAGGTGGGGGGAGGATGGGCTCGGGCGAGGTGGGCTCGGGTGGCTCGGGGTCTCGAGGCTCGAGGTTTGGGGCCTTCGGACGCTTTCGTCGGCTCCCGGAGGTTCTCCCACCTCGGGGATGCCCCCCAGCAGCTGCGCCCCGCCGAGGGCGTTCGGGGCTGCCAGACTCGTCTCGAACGGTCGCCGGAAGCCCGAATACTATCAGGGGCAACGTCTGGCGCAGTTCGTGCCACAGTGCCAGCGCAGCACTCTTCGTGGCGACGCTTTGAGCACCGCCCAGAAGGCCGCAACTTGTGACACTTGTCGTCCCTGTGCTCGAGGGGCTCTCATGGGAGCTACTCGGGGCCGTCTTGGCGCTGTCAGGGGCTCCTGTCGAGCCCAGCTCCAGTATCAGCCAAGCCCCTGCCCACCTCTGGGCCCAGCCCCAGCTCCAGCTTCACCTCCAGCCCCAGCTCGAGCTCCATCTCCAGCCCCGGCTGCAGCCCCGGCTCCAGCCCCAGTTCCAGCCCCAGCCCCAGCCCAGCTCCAGCTCCAGCCCCAGCTCCAGCTTCGCTCCAGCCCCCAGCCCTAGCTTCAGCTCAAGCCCCAGCTCCAGATCCAGCTAAGGCTCCAGCTCCAGCCCCAGCTCGAGCCACAGCTGCACTTCCGGCTCCATCTCCAGCCGAGCTCCTGCCCAGCTTTAGCCCAAGGTCTAGGTCCAGGCCAGGCTCAGCTCCAGCTCTGCCCCAGCTCCTGCCCAGCTCCACCTCGAGTTCCTGCGCCAGCGCCAGCCCTGCTCCAGCTTCTGCTCCATGTGCTCGGTAAGCGCACCGCAGTGGGCAAGGCGCAAGATATTCACTGAATGAGCCTGCGCGCCCACAAGACGCACACCGACGATGACGACCCCCAGACCTGTCCTGAGGCGCGTTCTTACCAGAATGGCGAGGCGGGCCCAGCCGTGGCAACGAGCAGCGCCCCAAGGTAGGAGCGGACATCACCGAACCGATAAGCTGGATCGGTTCGCAACAGGCGTCAATCCCAGTTCCATCTCCATCTCAATGCCCAGCTGCACTTCCAACTGAGCTCCAGCCCCAGCCCGAGCGCCAGGTCCAGGTCCAGGTCCAGCTCCAGCCCATCTCCCGCCCAGCGCCTGCCCAGCTCGAGACCCAGGTTCAGCTCCAGCTCAGCTCCAGTCCCAGCTCTAGCCCAGACCAGGTGTCATCCTGGTCAGGTTCAGTTTTTGTCCCTCCCCCTCCATCTTGAAGTCACCAGTCGGTTTTTGTCAATTTTTTTGTTTAACATGTTGGCAACGTAAGACCAACATCGTGTTTTTCTAGCAGTATATGTTGTGCAATGCATGTGGAGCAATGTATGTGGTGGAAACTATGTGGTGCAATTG